TAAATTTTTAAAAATTAAATAATATAATAATAATTTAAAATAATAATAATAATTATTATTATTTATTTATAGCATATGGATTAAAGAAAAAATATTGGAAAATTATTATAACTACAGCAGTACAAATTTGGAAAAATAAAGGTGGTGATAAAAAAACTTGTGATCATTTATTAGCATAAATACGTAATTATGAATTAAAAGTTGATCCTTATGATCAAGAGTTTGATAAACAAATTGAAACACTAATGAGTTAGTGGCTATCAATAAAGGATAAATATAATTATCTTTGTGAATTAGCAATTATGATATTTTCTATTACCCCTCATAGTGCAGGATGTGAAAGGATTTTTTCTACTCTTGGTTAGTTATATGGAAAAAGACAGCAACGTTTAAGACTTTTAAAAATTGAAGCAATGCAAAAATTCGTTCTTTTTATATTTCAAATATAAAAAAATGAGCTTGCTTATGTTGGACAATAACATTCGGAAGATGAGTTATATAAAATGATTGAAGATTCAACATTTTTACAATTTGAGGAAGAGGAGGAGGAAGAAGAAAAAAATAACAATATAGCTTTAGAAATTCCAACCCATGAAGTTCGTGTTTTAATAATTGAACAATTATTTGATTTAAAAGATATTGATATAGCAAATAATAAAAATAATGATAATTCAAGTAATAGTGAAAATGATAATAGTGATAATAATAGTTATTCAGATTCAAATAGTAGTGATGATAATAACGATTATGATATTGAATTATTAACAGAAAATATTTACTTAATGATAAAGAAATATTATAATAATTTTTTTATTTTTTGTAATTTTTTTGAAGACAGATAATTTTTTTTATAATAATATTAGTAATATAAATATTTTTTTTTCTATAGTATATAAATAATAATAAACAATTATAATGAATTTAAAAATACATTTAATTATTTTTTAATATTTTTTTTTATTTTGTCAATTTCGTTAATTTCGACAGTTTTGTCAATTTCGGTAATTTCGTTAATTTCGGTTTCAGTTTCGATTTCGGAAAAATTTTGTTATTTTAAAAAAAAACGAAATATTTCGAATTTAAAAAATAATTTCATCTAATATCATTAGTTAATAAGGTTAAATAAATAAACTTAATAAAATAAATAAACTAAACAATATAAATATTATTTATATTATTTGATAATTTACATTATTCAGATTATTCAAATGATTTTTATATAACAGTAGCAAAAAAGTGATAAAAAAGTATCTAAATACAAGAAAAAGTTTTAATATGATACTTTTATATATATTATATTTTTTATTTATATATAAATATTAATTAATAAAAAAAATATATCTAAATTTATATTTAATCAAAATTTTATTAATTTACTTGATTAGTTAAAAAAAAATTAGTTTTGAAATCATAATTAGATAAAATTTATATTTTTAAATTTATTTTATTTATAAAAATTTGATGAAATATTAATTTAATTAAAGTTATATAGTTAGACCTTTATATAATCACATCTTATATAGTCACATCTTTTTATAAGCATCTAATTTTAAGAAACAGATTTAATTAATATTTAATTATCTCTATATAATTACAAATTGACTATAATCACTATCACATATTTTTTTTAAATTTATATATCATTTTTATTAATAATTAAACTTCTTTTATAATCACTATAATTTTGGTCAAATCATAATTTTAATCAAAATTACAAAGTACATAACTTATGATTGTTATATAAAATTTCATTTTTTAGAATTTAATAGTATACAAATCATCTAAAAACGAATTTATTGATTTCAAAAAAAATATTTTTTGTGGTTAAAAATGAAAATGCTGTGTAAAATCACATGATTATATAATTTATAATTTTGACCAAAATTATGATAATTTAAAAAGGCATAAATCTATATAATTACACTTTTATATAAATACTGATTTTGTTGAAAAACTATATAAAGATTTGACTATATTAAATATTTAGTAAAAAAAATTGTTTATAAAATATTTGATAATAATATCAATTAAATTAATATATTATTTTATTTATTAAGTAATTTAATATATCAGCTGAATATAAATCTTTAATCTAATTAGATTAAAAAATTATATTTAGCTTAGATTAGATTATGTAATTACTTTATAAAATAAATTATAAAGTGATAGAAATTAAAGTAAAGTTATAAGTGATATTTATAAAATAAAGTTATGAATTTGTAGATACTTTATAGCTTTTATGCATGAAGTTAACTATTTGTTAGCCTAGTTCTATGCCTTTTTTATTATTAAGAAGTTGCTTATGCATTAGTGTCTTTATTTATTTTTCGTTTTTTATTAATTTGCCAATTTCAGATTACTTTTATGTTAGCTTAGATGCCAAATTATTGTATTTAAAATTTTTGCCAAAATTATAAAATAGTATTTACTAAAATATGATTATTAATTTACTATACTTTAAGATTTGAGTATATTTCTATTACATTCCTATTATCATTCCTATTATTATCCAAGGTAATCCCAGAATAGTGTCTGGATGCTAAGTTTTTGTATCTAAAGTTCTAACATAAATTATAGAATAATACTGGTCAAAATTAAATAAAATTTCAGTATGACTTACTTCACAGTAGAAAGAGAGAAAACTACAAAAATTAAAAATTTACTTTATAAGCTAAATATGATTCATTTAGTAATTTAATTCTAAACTCAAAATAATTTTTTTTTAAATTTATATGTAATAAAAAAAAATAAAAGTATTAATATTATAAAAAAAAAAGTTGAATTAATCACATTCAAATAAAAAAAAAAAGTAAATTTTATATATTATATTTATGAATTATAAAGTTTTATATTTATCTAAATATTGATTGTTATATACTTTTAATTATTATTTAAAATAATTTAAATATAATATTTTAATGCAATCTAGAAATGGTATAGCGCCGAAATTTGCAGATTAAAAACATCGGATTCTACTGCCCGCCTTCGTTATTTTTTTAAGACAAGGAATTTAAATATAAGAAGAGAATTTGGAAATTAGCAGGTTCCAAGTACGCAATGAATTTATGCTTTCTAAATAGAATTTTTTTTCTTGATTGTTTGAAGTTGCTTTCTTGAGATATAAAAAAATTTATTGTAATTTTAAACTAGAATGAACATTTGGAGCTCTTCTTTAGATATTCCCAAAGACATCATGAAAGAAATTTGGAAAGTATCTTCTTTTTCCATGGGAGTACGAAAGTTCAGTAGTACGCATAGAAAGTTAGGGCTAACCTTTTTTTTTGGATATTATAAATAAAACAAAAACATGTATATGAATTATTTGAAGATTTACATAATTAAATGAAAACTGCCGAACAGGGAATAATAATAGCTTTAGCCTATTATCGGTTGTGGTACAAATAATCCGAGTCATGTTTATTTACACCATAGTCTTATCTCTCTCTTTAGGTAGTTCATTTGTACTAAAAATGGTTCTTTGAAGTATTTCTCTTTTTGTATTTTTTTTTAATTGTCTTTGTCAAATGTAGCACTTCATTCATTTCAGTTTTTTTCTGTCTTTCATTATTACATTTTTGTTCTCAAAAGGAAGGCATTTAATTGCCAAGTTTAACCTCAAAAGAATTCATAAGAAAGAAAACGGTTAGATCTATCTGATAAAGGAAATTTCTTCAATGAAAATTAAATTTTTTTTTTATTTTATTAATGGAAATGAAAAAATAAATTTAGGTAAATCCAGTTTCTTAACAAGAACAAAAAAAGGTTTTGTGCTCGTGAAATTTGAAAAATATTTTGCCAATCCAATTTTAAGCATTTTTAATAAAACCAAAATATGATAGATATTTAAATTAGTTTAAATTAAAAAAAAAGATTTTAAGGTTTTCGTACGTCATGGCAGGTGATGTTATTTGTCATATTATACTTTCTGAAACAGATACGGTTAAAATATTTTTATTGTTTCCAAACCAAATTTATTCACAATGAAAGACTATATTTTTTGCCAAGGTATTTTGAACAACCACACGCATGTTTCTTTTATTTTCTTTTTTTCTTTTTTAAATTGGATAAAAATTTTTCAATTTGAATTTTCTGTGTGGAATATCATTTTGTGATTAGGAGGAACACTTCCGTTAGCCTGTTGATAATAATATATCCTAATTAAATGTTGTAATTTACATAATGGTTTCTCAAAAAATTGGTGATTGATGATGATTATCCTTTTTCCATATGATACAAAAAAAAAAAAAAGAGATCCATTTCAGGATTTCACACTTGTATTTTTTTTCGTTTAAAGTTTCCGTGTCACAAATAAATTATCAACTTATTGCATCTCGAATTTAATTTTTTTCCCTTTTTTCAATCCTGATGATTTTTTTGGAAGTATATTTTGAAATTAAAAGGTTATGAATTTATTACAGCGTTACACGAAAAATAATCCCGATGATTCTGTTTTTTAATCGATCATATTTTGAACGAACTATTCGAAACGATTTTCAAACGTAAAACAATTTGAAATGATTTATCAATAGGAAACCTTTTTTTCATTTGTACAGAAATTAAATATATTTATTAAAGATTAAGAAAAGATTAAATTAAGAGAATTTAAGAGAATTTAAGAGAATAGAAGATAGAAAATTTAACAGATTAAATTTAAGAGAATAAAAGTTAGAGAAGTTAAGAGAATAGAAATTAAATTAAAAGAATAGAAATTAAGAGAAATTAAGAGAAGTCAAGAAGATTAAGAAGAAATTCAAAAGATATTAAAAAATTAAGAAAAGAGGAGATTAAGAAAAGATTAAATTATTAAAAAAGAAATAACTTTTTTTTTTTTTTTTTATTTTTTTAGTAGAAATTTTAGAGAAATTTGAAAATGTTCGCGGAATTAACACTTAAAATTACGATTATTATTTAAAAAAAAAAATAATTCTATATGTACGTAATCTATTTATAAATGAAAAAAATATGAAAAAAAATGTCTATGAATATAAAAGAAATAGAGAAAAAAAAATATATATGAAAAAAATGTCCATTTAACCAACCAAAAAAAGTCGAACAATTATTTTTTGGGGGTATTTATATAATATGTACAAACAGGTGTCTATGTATAAAAGTTTCTACATTAACTATTTATCTTTGCGTTGTAATACAGCAAAAGTAGCCAAATCTTTGGCGTAAAGCTCTTCATCAGGGACATGAAATTGATCCAAATTTTCCAAATCATTTATAGTGGGAGCATTAGTAATTGAAATAATCTCATAATCAGGTTTGTAGTCATAATGTTGAGCAGAAACGGAAGATAAATACAAATTTTGATGAACAGTAAAATTTGAAGTGGAAATGGAAGATTTTGGAGTACGAGTATAACAAGTTGTGGTGGGCGTAACTGTGTTACAAGTGTTGGATGTTGTATTACCAGGGTTGTAAATGATAGGAACTTCTTCGGATGAATCTCCAGAGGAAGAACAGGAATATATGGACGAATCATCCGGTTGCTGAGGTGTAGCATAAGAGGAACTAGTTGAATAACCAGATAAATTTGATCTCTTTAGGCAAATTCTAGGAGTGTACTCGTCATCTTCTTCCAAATCACATTCTTCATCGCTCAATCTTTCAATAGGGATGACTTTAAACTTTGGGGAGGAGGAATGTATTTGTATACGTTGATAGATTAAAGTTTGTAACGGTTTTATGCCATAAAATGTGGCTTCATATTCTAATTTTTGTAAAATACTTAATGGGGTGGAATAGGGTAAAGTGCCATTTCTTAAAAAGGTTAGGATGTGAATAAAAAGTTCTCCATCTCTGTCAATGAATAATTCTTCGGGCCAAGGGTATTGCGAATAGGTCGAAGAGGGGGGAGAGTTTGGAGAACGAAATATAAAAAATAATTCGGATAAATAAGAAGGGTATGTGCATAATGTTTGTTGTGTTGTCATATATACGATTCCTCCTACGTTTAATTTTATGGGAACCTGATGAACATAACTATTGGAAGGATATGGAAGGAGTAAAAAAAAGCATGTTTTAATAACGAGGAAATCTTATTTGATATGACAAAAAAATATCAATAATTACCTTGGATGAATGAGCTTTGATTTATTGAAGATATTGTTAATACTAGATCGTTTGCCAAATGATGGTGTTTGTTGAAGATGATAATGCTGTTCTTGTTGCTGTGGTTGTTGTTGTTGTTGTTGTTGATGCTGTGGTTGGTTTTGTTGTTGATGTTGTTGTTGATGTGGTTTTGTGTCTAATTGGGTAAATTGCCTTTCTTTTGGTAGAACGAGTTGCTGTCGTTGTTGCGGTTGCGGGGGTGGTGGCGGTGGAGATTTCTTATCTAACCGAACAAATTCCTTTTCCTTTGGTAAAATGACTGGTTGTTTTTTCTCCGAAAGTGTAGTTGTATCATCATTATTCACCTTGTTGATGTTATTATCGATGGTGATGGTAGAAGATTTGAGGGAATCTTTTGATTCTTTCTTGTTCTTGGTAATTTTTGTTATGCAAGAGAGCTTTTTACACTTTCCGAAAATTTTCTTTAGCTTAGCAGGTATAGCCATTTTTATTTTTATTTTTTTTTTTGAAAAAAAAAAAGGAAATAATTTCAAATGAAACAAATATAAACAAACTATTTACAAATTTTACAAATTTGATCAAGAAATAGAGAATTAATCTCGAGAGACTATTCTGAGGGAAAAAAAAAAAAAAAAGGGTGAACTGAGAAATGGAGATATTTATATTTTTTTTTCTCTTTTTTGGGGTGATTTGCGGGGATAGGTCGATTATTACAATATACAATAAGAATACAGTATGTAATAAATGTCAAGTCCTTTATATATGACGTAAAAAAGTATGTGTCACAGTTTTAAAAAAAAGAAAAAATAAATATTTTTTTTTTCTTTTCTTTTGCAACGTTTCATTTTGAATAAAGGTATCAGTTTTTTTTTTTAAAGTAGTTCCTTTGTGGATTGCCCAATTCAATATTTTTAAATAGTAAATATTAAATATTTTTATATATTTATTTATTTGATCGGAAATCAATCGTAAGTGGAGTGGTTTCCACTTTAATAAAGGGAGTAAAATCATGTACAATGTAAATCTTGCCACTTTACGAAATTTGGCATTGCTATAAGACGAAATATGGTAAATTCTGTTGCTCGAAAAACTCTTCAAATTCCGGAATTCATAGAATAAACAAGTAATGAGGTGATACGGCTTAACTAATAAGTTAACAACAGGTTATAATTGAAAAAGGCAAATTGAGTACAATTGAAAAAAGATGTTCTAGAGAAATTGGAAAAGATGAATGATGCATCTTCAACTAATTTAAGTAAAAACTTTAAATTTTTTTTTTTAATAAAGGGTTTAAAAAAAAAAAATATTATTTTTAATTTTGAAAGAAGAAAAAAAAAAAAAAAAACCTTAAATTTAATTATGTATGATGTATTGTACATCCGATGAAGAAAGTATTATCATACTATGGTCAGGATAAAAGCACGCGAGATGTTAAAAAAGAATAAGGAAAAAAAAAAGATAAAAAAGATAAAAAAAAAAAAAAGAAAAGAAAATAGAGTAGATTTTCTATTGGGTTAAAATGATTTTAATTGTGAGATCTCATTTTGCTATACTAAAGACAAGAAACGATTACACAACATTTGATAAGGAAAAATTCAAGTTCTCTTATTCTACTAGTATGTGAAAAAAGTGACATGGTCACCTGTAAGGATACTTGTTTCAAAATTGCATGACTTGCGCAGTAATTCAATATATGGCTAATGTATTACTATGATTAAATCTATCTATTAAAACAATGAACCCAAATTAATTGTGATTAAAAGTTTAATTTTTCCATGTGGTCCCGTTGTTAATGAAATTTTATATGTTGTGCTGTGCGCAATATTACTCTCTCGACCTTTAAATGATTACAAAGTATAAGGTAATCATGCTAAAACTAATAAAGGCTTTTTTTGTGTGTATTTCGTTAAATTATTGAAACAACTAAAAAAGACTTTTTTTTATTATTTTGTTTATCATCCCAATAAAGGCCAATTTACTTTTTCTCTTCGCTTGGTAATTTGGAATTTGTTTCAAACTTTAAAACACATGATCGTATGGAACACCAATAGAGTGCGTTAATACAAACTTCAACGGACATTTTATATTAATTACATGGCGCATACATAAAACTGAAATAAATTTTTAAATAAATGTGTCAGTTTTCATGAGAAAATTATCATTAATAATATCAATTTGTCGGTTTTCAAGTTCTTTATCATCATTTCTTTATAATTTCTCAAACTATTTAAATGTCAGAAATATGCAAATATGTATAATAAAAAGAAGGACGGACCATTAAACATCACGGAATAAAATTCTTTTTTTTCTCCGATTGATGAACCAAAGATGCAACCACATAAATTTTATTTTCTTTCATGTTCTTCCTTTACATGTTTGAAAGTCTTATGATGCCTTTGTAATAATTGAAAGGGGGAAGAGTCGATACTCGATAATCTTCAGAGTAGTGTCATTTGACGGTACCTAAGCCGGATTCAAAACAAGTTGGAATTGTTATCGTGTAACATTTCGCCGTGTTTAAAAATAATTGTCTTAAAATAATTTTGTGGAGAAAAAAATATAAATAATGACCATGTGACCTCGGATTTTTATTATCTTAAAGTGTTTGGTGAAAATTTTGATTTGTAATCATTCAATGTATTAATAGATTCAATATATTTATTTAATATATTATTTATATATATATATATTATCAATAGAATATTTTAGATTATTTTAGATTATTATCTTACAATGGGATCGTGTGACTTGGATCGGATAGATTGGAAGATTAGTTCAACATCTTAAAAAAAGATCAATGATGTTGCTCAATTGGAGGGTACACACACCTGGTACCAATTCTCATTATAATCATTATATTTATATAAATTAATCTTAAATATACAAACAATAATAATTACTTTAGCTTTAATTTCATGAATTAATTGATTTGATGTATTTCGAATTAAAATATTGATAAATCAAAATTAATTAAAATTAATTTGATTATAGTAATAATATACTGTAACTCAGCAAATCATGAAAGGAAAGAGTATAAATTAAAAAACAATTATTAAATATTTAAATGATTAATTATGATCCGTCAGTTACAAACAAATCGTTCTTTAAGCAAATTTATATATAAGTAATTGATTATTCAACTAATAAAATAACATATTTTATTGTTTATAATAATTTTTTAATAATACTAACGATAATATCATTATTAATATTAAATAAAAATTAATAAATATAAAAAATTTTTTAAAGGTATATGTAAAATTTTCATAATTGTTTTTAAATTTCATTTGAGTTGCAACTTAATTGCGACATTAACATTTTTTGATGCCATCTTTAGTAAAACATAAAAAGTTTTTTTTAAAAAAAAAATAATGATACCTTTTTATATTCTTTATTTTTTTACTATTATTTTTTTTTATTAATACCGATACTGAAATAATGCAATGTTATAAAATTATAATTTCTTCACTTGTATTTTTTTATTAATTTTTTTAAACAAAAAAACCATTTAAAATATTATATTTTTCTTTACATTATTTTAATTGTATTTATTTATCCAAATAAAAAAAAACTATTTATAAATTAATTATTATTATTTAATATTAACGTTAATAAAAAAATTCGTAATAAAAAATTTAATTTATTAAAAAAATATATAAAATACTAATATTTATTTTATTAGATCATTTAATTTATATAAATTAGCTTAATAATTAAATTAACAAAATCATAAATATTTTTTTACTATTTTTACTTTTAAAATATTAATATATAAATAAATGTAAATATATTAATAAATTTATAATTAATTTATATAAATAATTAAATTTTTTATTAGATTTTAAATATTATTTATTAAATTTTATATTAATAAAGAATTTGTTAAATTTTAATCTTTTAAATCTTTAATATTACTTTATATAAAATTATATTATTATTTAAATTTTTAATTTTATATTTTTTTATTTATAAAAAAATTGATAAAAAATAAAATGTTAAAAAATTAAAACATTAAGAAAACAACAAACAAATTATAAAAAAGATACTTTACTATCATCTAAATATTTTTTAAATGTATCGTAAAATTAATATATATAATATCTTATACATAAATCTTACTATTCTTGATCTTGTAAGCAGATTATATAATAGCTGTTATAAATTTATTATAATATTAATTTATAAAATTTATTATTAAAATGTATTATTAAATTGGATTATTAAAGTGCATTATTAAAATATCTTATATACAAATAATTTTTTAATATGTTTATTAATTTTTTTCTTAAATCTAAAATTAATCAAGATTAGTAATTAATAATATTATTAATGTTAAATTATTTAATAAATAAATAGTATTACTTATTACATTATAAAAAATTCATTAAGTAAATATTCTAAATTAAAAACATTTATCATTAAAAATTTTGTTAATAAACTTTTAGTCCTTTTTTGACTTGAATAAACTTTATATAAATATTGAAATTGTATTGGTTAAAATATTTCTACCAAAATTCTTTGCAAATTTGACCTTACTAAGTAGAATTTTATCTATTATTAATATAAGTTACTCCTAAATCTAAGATAAGATTTAAATATAAAATTTTAATAAATATCTTAAATTTATAAGATAATTTTACTTAATAATTAAAAAATATAATTAAAATTCTGTGATAAGATTTTTTATGTGATTATTAATTATAAAATAAGATTTATGCATTTTTTCAAAATGTTACTTATAATTTATAATATAAGATTTTTTTAAAAAAATGTTACTTATTGAAATAGTTAAAATAACATTATATTAGCTAATTTTTTATGTTGAAAATAAATAAATAATTTTAATTAATATTATTTTGTT